CAATTATGTCTTTCCTCATCTAGCAGATAAAGATGGCAATAAAAAGGAAGCAAAATGTTTACAGTGTTTGTTTTCAAAAGCAGCTTGTATATCCGTGACGGATGTACCGAAATACTCACAGTGAATCATGTTTAAATGACACGAAAAACACTCTGCCGTCCGGAAATATGTATCTTCTTCGTCATCGTTTTTAATAATATATATGCACACCAGTCATCAATATCAAGTATGGGTCACACAGACATCAACTGCAAGTGCATCAGTGAGACATATTATGATTTGTTATGTTAACTTTGTCAGAAAACTTCATTAGTGTTTATAAATTGGACAACTGTTACATGAACTAAGTGTAAACGTTTTAGTAGGCCGATCGATCTCGTAATGAATTGAATGTTGTACATTTCTAAACCCCTTTCCAGATGTTCCACGTCAGTATAATAGCATTTCTAGTAATTATAAAATGGTTAATTCTAGTATAACAATGAGCCGCCTGTGCTCCTGTCATACTGGGGCGGTAACACAATTGAAGGGGTGTGGTCAAACTTCTACCCGCTGATCACTGATTAATGTGTGTTAATAGTTATCACAGAACGAGTATTCTAACCAAGTTCATTTCCGCGAGTAGGGTAGGTATTGATCCCCACCGCTTGCTGTTACGGTGTAATAAGCGGATAGCCCGCTCCCGACCGGTATATACCATCGCTTTATCGGGATTAATCAGAAATAGGGTTATATACAAAATCAATGCAATGCACCACTCCTAAACGAGGACATTATAACAGATTTTACATTTGTTTTCGAAAAAATTTGTTACTATTTATACTTAATAATGCGACAAGATCATTGCATACAATGACCGTTTTAGATTCACAAAAATACTGATAGACCTCATTACATTTTCTCAACACACGTATTATTGTATTATGGATAGAACTTTAATAAGCGATGCCTGGGCCTAATCCAATCGTATTTTTGGTACAATAAAATTGATTTGAAACGAAATGAAACATATTATGTCATTACTGAACAAATGCGTAAATGAGCATGATACTTGTAGAGGTTAAATAGGCAGTGTTATCCAATAAATTGAATAAACAATTTATCAATGATAAATGCCTGCTAATTTTAATCACTTTTTTCCGATACGTTGTTGTAATTTGCATTAAATACTATACATGTGATAACTTTTGCTCATGAAAAATAATAATTTGATATAAGTTTTGTAATAAAAATAACTGTTGTTATTCCCACTTTTTTATTTTTTCCCCGGCATTATTTAAATACTCAAACGTAACGTATAAGTTATTTAGAGTAAAAATACGAACAAGTGAAACGTTGAAACACGTGTTACAGATCAAATAACTTCAGTGAAGTGAATTTGTTATTTATTTTGAATGAGATTGACAGATCAATGTTCTGCAAGTCACTGGCCTTGATGGTTGTAAATATCTGAGAAAAAAAACTTTTTCGGTGAATAAATGAACAAAGAATTAGAAAAAACACACTAATATGTGTGAACAAACTATAATTTGAAAAAAAAAGTAATTGCTGGCCGAACTTGTGTGGTGGGTTTCATTAAGATCGGAGATGAACAGCTTTGAGTGAATGACCTGTTTCCTGCTAAAGACATCGTACGATGAAGCTACTCCGCTGTAGACACAGGGCATGGTTCTCTGCGGGAATAATCATAGCCTTGTTGTCCCGCAAAATTATATTTCAAATTAATTAGTATGGAAAATGTCGGGTATAATTTCCGCGTGTCCCCGGTTGCTCTCAAGCGGCGTTATCCCCAATATGAGGTCGGAAGAGGTGGTCGTAGCTCCGAGCTACACACCTGAGTTTGACTTAGATCGCATCCTTATTTTGATTTTTCACATTAACGTTTTGCCAGGAGGTATGCAAATGAAACTGGGCACAAAGGGAGGTGATTACACGGGTGGGGTAGCTGGGAGAAGCAAAAAGACCGAGTAAGTGACGAGACAGTGACAATTAAACATTGAAAGGGCCATCCTATCTACCGTGATTACACCTCCAAACGGTTCATAAAGATAGAGATAAGGTTGCAAAATATTTTCTCTTCTGAAATAAACAGTAACTTGTTAATTTGATGGTTCGCTGGCGCTTCAATTGTCATCCTATTTCATATAAAGACGTTCTGTTTGTTGCTTTAAATAATTTGACAAAATCTGAAATGCAAAATAGTTCACTTGTTGTAAAGATAATGAAACGTCGAGTAGCCCGACGCTGCTCAGTTTGTAGTTGTCTGCCGAACCAAAGGTCTTGGATGAATATTCAGATTTACGATTTGCATAAAAACAGCGCCCGGTTAACGACGTAATGACGAGAGATAATATCTCGTAGTTTAAGGTGGGAGAACGAATCAAGGCTGGGTAAATTAATGTTTTATGTACGATATATATATGGGAAAATCATAAAGTTTTTTATCACAACAAACATGATTTACTCTAAGTAGCTTAATTTTCCCTTGTTTCTTAGTTAAATATATATTCAACGACTATACATCATGTTAAATCGGCAGGGATTTTACTGTAGGTATTTATTTTAATTCTTTCAGTAATATATTACCGATATAATTACACAACTTAGCTTGCTGAAATGTATAAAAAAAAAAAAAAAATTAAATAAGAAAATAAAAATCATAACGCATTTATTTTGTATATGTAGGCGTGTTTAAAAACACAATTGATAGCAACTTACAGCAATTTGTCATACGAGTTTGCTGACGTGTTTTCTTGCGCAGTTAATATTAAACAATATAATATATTTTACAACCATATCAATAAATAAGCTTACTTGAGTCTAGAATTTTCATACAAAGCCCATGTAGAGTTTGACTTATGTGTTGTGATAGGAAAGAAAACGAACAGTAACATTTTGTTTAAAGTGCATTGGTGTTAATCAGGGCTGATGTATAAGGAGTAGAAATAATTTATGTTAATACAAGGATTAATTGAGAGGAAAACAAATGCTAGTTAAATGATTTATAATGTATATATCATGCAAACTACTAAAGTGTGTACAAGTGTGCATTGTGTATGCATACCTTTTGTGCGACAATGTGAAATTGATTGTAATGTATCATAGGCTATCGTTTAGTTAAAAAAAAAAAAGTAAAAAGAAAATAAATTAACTAAACGATAGCATATGATACATGACAATTAATTTCACATTGTCGCACAAAAGGTATGCATACACAAAACACACTTGTACACACACAAACAACACACTTGTACACCCACAAACAACACACTTGTACACACACAAACAACACACTTGTACACGCTTTAGTAGTTTGCAGGATATTACATTATAGGGTAAAAACTCTCAAGTTATGCCTATCACGGCAACAATAGTAAGGAATAATTGTAAAATACACAATTAATTATAATAAATGTTTCTTTTATCAACTCAAATGTGATTTTTACATGTTATTAAGTATGAAGCTGACTACAAGTGGTATGCACGCTGTGAGTTATTTAAGATTGGTATGTGCAAGTTATCAAACTGAGTTTAGTTATCTATCATTTATTACAAACCATTACGTTTGATTAGTTTGTTGTGTTAAGATGTCATGTGTACTTCACCCCTACTCTAACCAGGATGGTTTGGGCGCAGCTTAACTCGTAATGACATTAGTTTGAAGCGTGAAAACATTCCACACTTCGCTCTCAATTAGATTTTCATTCTTAATCACCAAAATATCTTTCCACAATTGTCCCCACGTCTACGTCCACTTTCTGTCAATGAGAGTCATTCCGGCGACACAAGTGACGAGCACTTGGGTTTTATTCTTTAATACGAAGGTCTTTCTTATAAGCCCCAATTTATCCAGAACAACAATAAGCTACAGACGGCTATAGACGGGCAATGTAGTGGTACGCACCACTCCATTTAACTCCCTTATGTTTACTTTTAATTGAATTTTCGAAATTCAAAATATGGAAGACTCCCTAGCTAATCAAATGTCAGCACGTGAATAGTGTTTTCATATTTGAAATAATTCAGACATACAAAAAGTGCTAGCTGTCATCCTGTTAGCCCCGTGTCACTAGCCGCGATCCTAGGTGGTATGGTCATCACATTTTCCATGTTTTCAGTGAGAAGAAAATGACAAGTGTATGCGTATCCTGTTTTGCTTTATTTCCTGTTTAAAATGTATCATCTTAATGTATTCAAACACGACATTACCGTCTAAAAATGCAGGTTATAAACTTTCAACTTAAATCGTTTTAACTTAGCAAACTTCCGGGTCATTTAATTCGCCTTTACATTATTTCACATCCTTTAATTAATTCAAACCGGGAAGCCATTTTACATTCTCTAAAGAAAAAAATGATGATTAATGCTAAATGATATCCCTGTGCTTTGTAAAATATTATTTAATGTAATCATCCAAGGAGATGTTAAGGTATTGTCGCATTATCAATGCTTCTCTTTATATTCACTTGTTTCATGATTACACAGTACAACACTTCAGAACCAGTATAGTTTCCGTATTATTTTGATTATTTTACGCATTTTCTTAAACTTTACAATGAAATTTGAACTGTTGTGAAACGTGAGGAAAGTATAGGTTAGCCCTTCCGTTTTCGCACTTGTTACGTCGGATAGGTTTATTTAGCCCTGTTAATTACAACACCAGGGCTATCGGTGTGTCGCCGATTGAAAATTAATGCATTCACTTTAAAATATAATACCAACATTTGATACTGGTCCGTGTAACTTGATATTAATGTTAATATCATTTGTGCCGGGGAAGTGAATAAATTGCTCATAAAATAATGACATGGGGCTTATCTAGATAGAACATTTTTAAATATTTCAGCACATAAAAGGTGTACATTACCCGAACCGGCTCCCTCGTAGTCAGTATTGCGTATGCAACTTTTATGATGTTATAACAACCGCGGGTAGACTGCACTGTGTTCGGACCAAAAATAACACCCCGACTGTACATTAATATTCTGTGATATACATACCCCGTTACTGCTTGTTGCTGCGGGGTGCGATCTCTCTGTCGGCGATTTTTGAACCAGTTGCTGACTTGTGTCAACGTTAAGCCAGTCTTTTTTGCTAAATTTCTCTTCTCATCTGGTGTTGGGTACCTATTTTGTTTATAACACTCTTTTAAAGCCTGACGAGATTTCTCCTTAAAACAATATACAGTTTCCTCTCCATCCCAAATAGTTTTGGGTAAAGGATACTTCCTTCTCAGTCTGTATTTGTCTACAGCACCCAAAGGTCGGCCGCGGATTTTTTGAGCTTCCATATAATGAGCTTTGTACCAAAGTTGCTGTAAAAAAGAATGATTGGTATCATGGAATTCATGACTTTCTAAAATTGCATAAAGTTCCCTGTAACTTCCTCTATGAAAGGCAACAGTTGCCCTGGCTTTGAGGACGGCCTCACTGCCTCTCAAAAGTTCGCTGGGGGGTAACGACCAGAGGAACCTGGCCAGTCTGTCGATATCCCCCTTCTGCTGAAGAGCTTCACAAACACATGCCACCTGTTCGGGCGAGAAAGTCAGATTTTTGCCGGATAAAAGTTCCGAGGTGGTTGCTGAGGAGGGTGAGGCGGGGTTAGAAGTTTGTGTGTTTTCCCCCGACCCGTTCAATGGGTCGGAACTGTGGGTAGAGGAAACATCCCTCGTCATGGTAACGTTGCTTCCTCCTCCCGTAGAATCATTATGTGTGGACACACTCAGGATGGCGGTGGCACAATTGACGGGGTCGGGACTGAGGCCCGAGGGGTCGAGGCTGGGTGCCGTGTCCATCATCACCGTTCTCTGTTGATGTCGAGTCGTCTGGCACAGCACAGTCCTATATGCCGTGTTGAGATAACTGCAATAATATTTACAATGTCAAATGCTTTTGATTGAGGACAATGTCGGGTGACGAGCCGTGATTGGCCGCATCGTCACGAGAGGCTGTTCCACACACTGAAAGGGCGTGGCCCCGCTACGGGTAATTGTCATTTCTCATATACCTGATGTGATCACTATTGTAGTTTATGAACTGTATCTGTCAAGCCTTTACACTTGATACCATAACCATAAGATATGGTCGATTTTTTAAATAAACTATCCACTTTGCTGTAATGAGTATGAAACGCATTACTATGTTTAGATACACATCGAACAGTAGTCTAGTCTTCCTCTCACCGTACACCCTAAGGAACGTGCCTGTAATACAGTACGAAACCGTGTATTGTATATATGATGTTGGATAAATGATCTCGTTTTAGTTTTGTATACACAGTCTATGGTCTCTCGGGAGAGTGAACGCTCTGATTTTATCGACGTAGAAATTTGCATCTTATATACAATTATCGAGAAAGGGTAATTTCACGTACGTTAATAATCCTCTAAGAACTCCAACATCAAGGTCTGTAAGTTGATTACTCCGTAGCCAGCTAGGGAATCGTCCAGTTTTAAGGTTTATTAGTCATTTGCGATAATCAGAAGATATCTGACAGTGTTTTCGACAATTGTGTCACCTGCATCAGCTGCATTATGTTAATGTCTGCTAGAATATGTATAAGAATATCCTATTGTTTGTTGTTTTTTATAGTGGCATCCTTTGTTTCTTCATTCTTCATTTAATGTTACTGAACAGCTGTCAAATACATAATAAACTGTTATTCATACTGTAACATAAAATATATAATTTAATTCTACTTTAATAGAAAAATCAATGAAATACAAATATCTTTGCTTTATTTGCAAATAATTATATTATATTTGATAATCATAGATATAGTATTATATCAAACAATATATCTGTAATTTTATATTTAACATTATAGCTTAAATATTAAAATAAATGTTATATCTGAAATGTTATTTAATGAAGTCCATACAGAAAATTATTAAATTGTTGATAAAGTTGCTATGGCCATCACGAACATTTGACAATAAATATCTGATATTATTTACAGCATGTAATTATTTAAATACGGTATAATAAAAATACAAGTTTTGTATTAAAATACAGTACAATGCATATCATTGTCGTATTTTTATCCAAATCGAGCGATATCTAATCATTTTATTTTATGACCTGACTATCTATTGACAGTGAATGACTATATATTAATTGGAAAATAAAGCAGAAAATATACGTTTGTTTATACTAGAGAGGGGCAACATGTGGTAAAGTGATTGATTCAACTAAACATGTTTGTGTCATGCTTATTTTCTTAATGAACGAATGTAGGACTTGAATGAATATTCAATTTTATAAAAACAAATAAGATACGTATTGAATATACATTACTATATTTCTCCTACAACAACAAGTTTCCTTACTTCCGGCCATTGGATGAACCTGTAAGAAGTTGGTAAATATTATAGAATTATGACGTCAAGTAACAATGCCTTGAGACTACATCTGCCATTATGACGTCATAGTTCACGGCAATGGTTTCCCCGTTCGGAAACAGGAACAATGTATTCCAGAGAGAGGCAAATTGTTTTTTGGATATTATATGTGAACGTTATGGGAGAAAAGGGTTCCTAAAGTCGTGATGGTTAATTTTCATGTTCATCTAAGGCTTGTTAGTTAATTTTAAATTTGAAAAGACACTTGAAAAATGTCGTGTCTTTATCAAATTTAAAAATTAACTCGAGATAGATAAACACGGTAACCAACCATCACTCGTTAGGGAACAGCTATACGTATATATTTAATTGCTCAGACATCTTTATCATCCTTCTTTGTCTGTTTGGAGATCAGTAAGTAAAGCTACATTATATTCTCACTCGTCGTTCTTGTTCCGCTAAATGATAGCTCGTACCATGTACTCGTACATTTCATATCCCTCTGCACTTCTCTGATTGAACTCCTGTGTTGTGTAATATCGATGTATAATATCAGTTACTACAACGGTTTATCTTTGGTTCGTCATACAAAAAGTCAGATGCCTTCATGATGCATAGTACGCGCTATAGTACCCCATATTTATAAATCTCGCACTGACACGTCCTTGTTAAGACTGTTACTCTGCTTGAGGCGTCGTCACTGGAGCACTGTACACGCATGTGTCAATCTTAAAACAAAACAAAATTGTCAATTAAATTTCAAATATACTAACGCATTTGCTATGTAGTCCATCATAGTGCATTAGAAACTAACACTTACAAAGACTGAGTCTGTATAAGTTCTCTCAAATTGTTCACTAGAATACATCATGTATATTTTATAAATTCTATAATTCAACAGCATGTTGCTACGAAATTAATTACGGTTTTTATACAAAATTAAGTATTTAAAGTAAAAGGATTTTTATTTAACTGGATATTCAGTAACAAAAATGCTTAGCATGCATTATTTGTAAAAAAAACTCCTTTTTCCTCAAAATGTTATACGTTTTAATTGTTGGGGGGAAATCTCAAAACACAGTAAAATGAGTAGATCTCGTTCGTGTGCGTCTATCCATGTACAGGGACAAGTCGGCAGAGATGAATTATCTGCCAAGATTACAAAGCAGTAATCAAAAACTCATTTTGCAGCGATTCATTTTACAACATTGTCACTTGATACAATTGAACATATCCAAAATATTCTACCTGATACTAACAATTATTACTTTCAAGAAAAATATGTTTGTCAAGAAAAATTACCGTATTGCTCCCTAATTAATTGGTAAAAGCCAACGGTAATGATGTAGGATCGATGTGCGTGTGGCTCAGGATCCAGCTAACTAATCTTTCCTAAATTGCAAACAAATTAACCACTAGCCTTCTAAACCCTCCCCCTCCTTGTCCTCCCCTCCCCCCAGCGCAGAATTACGTTTGGTGCCCCCTAACAAGATGATCCGACTCCGAACCAATAATCTGCATTAAATGCGTGGGATTCTTTCACGAGATATTAAATATCATATTACAGCCAAGATGAAAGGTTTTATACTGTAAGGAAATCTGGGCATCTAATGAACGGGCCATGTAATGTCCTTCACACAGCACAGTTATGGTGTATTTTTTAGTATTGTTTTCGGTATATCAACCTTGTACATACAATATAATTTCCATCTAACAAATCTTAATTAAAAGCGGCAATAGATATTGACTATGTTTTAACTATATTTTAGTCAGCAGAGAAAACTTTTAAAGCACATTTATCATTAGCAAACCAACATTGGTCTCTTCCAGTTGGTATAACTTGTTACACAGTTCCAAGGACAAAGACAAAATTAGGATAAAATACAAAACAAATATATAACTAACACAAATACACAACTTCCTAAAAATGACAAAGACAAAATTAGGATAAAATACAATACAAATATATAACTAAAACAAATACACAACTTCCTAAAAATGACAAAGACAAAATTAGGATAAAATATAAAACAAATATATAACTAACACAAATACACAACTTCCTAAAAATGATCTTTCGATACATTGACAGGCGAGTAACCTTCCAGGACGTTCGTATGGTAAAAAGGTTAATTTATTGTTTACATTTTTTATGTTGTCAACTGTTACTTCAAAATTATTTTATTTATATTCAGCGGCAATACTGATATATTACATTTCTTATGTTGCTAACTGTTACTTTGTGTACCTTTATCCCCACAATAGTAGATCGATCGTTAGTCAAAGGCAAACGGTGGTTTGTAAAAAAATGTGTATACCATGCAATTTTATTTGTTGAGAAACATTGAATTACCCCAAGAAGCATTTTTTTAACACGGCGATTAAAACAGCAGAGAAGCATCACTGTCCCGAAAGTACGCCAAAAAGCATGCTTTATCTTAGCGGCAGGAACGTATGGTCAGCACATTATTTTTAATGTACTTGTGCGAGTGAATCAGCTAAAAAACATAGGTGACGTTCAAATATAGAAACTACATAGAACAACAGTGTACGTGATGTTAAGTGTTAGAGTCGTTCCTCTGTTTTAAGTTAGTACTACATTCATAGAAAGTATGTCTCTTCTCCAAATCAAACTTGGCTGTAGCGTAATAGCACACACAACAAAACACACTAAATAATAATTAAACTGTAGTTACAGTATATAAAGGATCTTCTGTATAATCACGGTTAATATAGATATTTATAGTAGGACCACTTTCAAGCAGTGTAAATAATTCAGGAATCCGTTAAAGCTTATCAAAACGATCACAAAATGTTGGGGCGGGGCGAGCTGACTAATTAGTAAAATATTTCGTTTCAGTTTAGAAAAACGAAACTGATCAAAATTAGAATTTTCCTCGCGTCCGGTTTTTCCTTTTTTGTTGTTGATTTTTTAATAAAATTCCCATATAGTATTTTGTGTGGAATCAATCTGTTACAGTGAAATTTATATAAATCTCAGAATATTTGTAGATTTATAAAAATATATCTCTGTCCATTATATTTGGTAGTGTTATTGAATATTATATTTGCTGTAATATCCTAATATATCGTATTTCAAAAACAAAGGTACTAGTACTTGAAGTATTTCATAACATGAACATAAAATTTGCGTATGAAATCTTAAAATATTATCAATTATTACGTCATAACAAGAAATGAAACACCGCCACGCCTCGGAATTATGTACCAAAGTGATGAATGTGTGGTTGACCGAATCATTTGAGAGTTTAGAGTTTATTTTTGAAGTGTTAGTTTAGAATTAGTAGATATAGTTGTCTTAATGTTTCAAGTCACAGACTTTTAGATTATGATATAATATTTTAGAAAAAGAAAACAAATATTGTTTAACTGAAGACTTTGAGAATGAACTGGAAATATATATAAATACTATATATATAATATATCATGAATGAAATCTTGATTATGTGCAAATATCGTTTTCCATTATATTTTCGTCTAAGATCTCCTTTATATGATGTAATACAAAACAAGATGGTAGAGTCTGCTGA